AGGGAATTTTGAAACAAGCAAGACATCCAAATAATCATCTCAGTAGGGCTGGATGCCAAGTGCTGCAGGCAGCATGTGGGTCTGGTCTAACACTAATGCTACTAGCACTCAGGCTGCACACAGGGCTGATCTGGGATGCATGCAGCATATGGGGCTAGTCTAGCACTAATGCTACGTGTCACCCAGCCCAGCCCTGTGCACTGCATTTGGTGCATGCAGCCAGTCTGTGGGTCTAGTCTAGCTCACAATCTGGCCCCATACCAGTCACCCAGCCCATGGGGCTTGATGAGTTTGATACACTTGCACAAATACAAAATTATTCAAAGGTCACTGAATGTCAGAATTAATTCTGAGCTGTGAAGAAATTGGCAGTGGAGTGTTTAATACAGTCAGGGCGTGTGAGAGAGATTCAAAATAGAAGTCATTCCCTGTATGGCCTGTTTGATAAGCCCTTTTACATGTGTTCAGATGGAAGTCTGAGACTCACTATTGCTAAAAAAGCTAAAAATCCCTGAGCCTGCTGGTGAAGTAGGGTGGTATCTAAAAAGAGCTGGGGTTGTATAGGCAAGTGAAAGAGGACCAGCGGAGGAGTGGCAGCAATGACTTCTTGCCATGCAAAGGAACTGCAGGGACTCCTGGCAGCATGAAGGAGTAGTGATGACCCCTTCCACACTGAGTGGGCTAGGTTGTAGACCCCCTGATTTAGAAAGTTGGCGTTAAACCCCTCAATTTGAACCTGGCCCTTGTTACCTCCATCTACTGCCTGGCAGAAGGGTGTTACACACACTGTCCACCAAAGCCTGGAATGGAACTCTGGGGAAATGTCCCTACCTCCTCTTGTACTGACCCATCTACAGCAGGGGTTAGCAAGATCTTAAGAGCAGCAAGTTAAATTGAGAGAGATGAGTGTGAAGGCAGGCCACTCTCCCACCACCAGTTTCCCTGCTGCTGACATCTTGTCTTTGCAAATTGGATAAAATTGCTGGCAAGCCAGTTCTGTAGGTTGATGACTGTTCTCATAGAGAACTACAACCTGTTACTGCTATCAGTTACAACCATTATTATATCAATACCAACTCTCCCATATGTATTAAATTGCAAGTGTTAGTATACTAAAGCCATTCCACTGTGGAATTAGAAATGGAAAAGTTGTCCTCATTTCTACATGCAGCCCGATTCCCTTTTGTGAAAGCCATATATCATTTCCTGAATAGCATTACTGCTTCATTAAAGAAAGGTAGTCACATCATAATGGAAAACTTCCCTGTCTCTTTCTTGATTTTTCCATAGCCCTTTTTCTTAGGATTGCTATTTAGTGCTCTCACCCTTCCCTGCCTTCTGCCTCATATTGACAAGGACTGTGAAAACTGTTGATGATTTGACTCTTCTGCTACCTATCTATCTGGTTCATCCTTGAGGTATCCAATTTTCTTCAGCTACATTCTGAAAGTGTTCTACTTTGCATCAGAAACTGATGCTGGTAATTTTAGCTGCTGGCACTCCCCTTATCTCCCCTTGTCCAGCAATAACCTTTTAACCACAACTGCCTCATGAAGATCTTCCCCACTGATAAGTAATGTGTCATTGTTACTGAGATATCCGGAGTGGCTATTGGCATATTCTCTTTTTAGTCAATGTAAACAGTTTTTATCAGTATTAATATTATGAAGATAACCACCAAAAAGAAAAGAATCCCCCCCCCCCGGTTGCCGTGTCTAATTTTACCATGTTTGAATTAACAAAATTAAATCAGGTTATATCATCAATTTTTAAAGTATGTTACCTTAAAAATAGATATCTTTTAAAGCAATACTCTGAATTGCTCCAATAAACTCCCCCATAAAATCATTTCAACATTTGATTACAATTTTTAAATAAAAATTAGTTAAGTATCTTATTACAGAAGAAACCCTAGTCAGGATTAGTAAAACGCTTCTATAAGTGCTATAAATTTGTGCACATAGACATACTTCTGTCCCAAACACTTTAGTATCTGTTCAAATATTTTAGAATTAAGAGAAATTTAACAATGACAGATAGTATATTTTAGTGAAATGAGTATTCTAATAGAGCTAGAAAGGACCTCCAGAGGTTATCTAGCCCAACTCCCTGCCTGAGGCAGGGTCATCCCTATTCAAACCATCCTAAACAATCCACAATCTAACCTCTATATAAGACTATTATTAACCCTGACACAACACAGACCTAACACCCTAACCTGCCACAGGTAAAGCAGGGGAACCATGGTAGCCAAGGTCCTTTTTTATGAGATGTTGTCAATATATGCTTGAGATCCCAGGTCAAGGGCCATGCCCCATTCCCCTGCCCCCGCAAAGAAGAAAGCAAAGACCCCCGCAGTCCATGAGGTAAAATTCCTTCCTGACCCAAATATGGCCATCAGTCTGACCCTAAACAGAGGGGTAAGACCCTCTATCCAGGAATCTTTGGCTTTGGTCCCAGCAGGAACACTAGCACACCCCAGGCAAAGTCCCTAACCTTGGCTATAGCCACTACCCAGTGCCTGAGGGAGGCTTAAAAACACCTTGACACCCATAGCAATTTGGGGAGGTGGAGGTAAGGGCAAACAGCAAAGCCTACAAGCATGGGAAATAACTATAGTCCAACAAAGACATAGCTATGCCTAGATCACTTAATGACCTGCTGTTCAATATTTGTTTTATCATTCTTCCATGTGCGAGTCCTCGGCTTTATTTAGTGAATGCTATTTACAATTCTGTTCCGAGTACAGAATAATCAATTTCCTCAAAGGCTTTTCTAAGGGTATACTCATATAGGATCTATACATTTCAGAAGCACCCAGAACTGGAATACTGGGATTAATGTCAGAAGTGTCCACTGATTATGAATGTCCAATTCTAGAAACTATTTTTTTAACAACTTCATGAAATTCTCATTAACAAGCTTAGGAAATAAAGACTAGACAAAAGTACTGTAAGGTGGATACATAACTGGTTGGATCAATGTACTCAATGAGTAAACCTCAATGGTTCAATGTGTAGTTAGAAGGAGGTATCAAGTGAGATTCCCTAACAATCTATCCTAGGTCCAATATTGTTCAAACATCTTCATTAAGGATTTGGATGATGGAATCAAGCACATCCAGCAAATTTAAGGATGACACCAAGGTGGGTGAAATTGCAAACATTTGGAAGGTAGGATTAGGATTCATAATGACCTGGATAGAGTGGAAGAATGATCTTCAACCAATAAGATGAGATTCAACAAGGAACAGTGCAAAGTCATGCATTTGGGGTGGAATAATTGCACAAACAAATACAGACTAAGGAATGCCTGAGCTAAGCTGCAGTAGTGTAGGGA